GTATATAAATATCTGAGGGGTGAGTGTCAAGAGAAAGGAGACAGTCTCTTCTCAGTGGTGCCCAGCAATAGAACAAGAAATAATGGGTTTAAGTTAGAACACAGGAAGTTCCACTTCAACGTGAGGAAAAATTTCCTTACTGTGAGGGTGCCAGAGCACTGGCACAGGCTGCCCAGAGAGGTTGTGGAGTCTCCTTCTCTGGAGACATTCAAAACCCACCTGGATGCGTTCCTGTGTGGCTGCCCTAGGGGACCCTGCTCTGGCAGGGGGGGTGGTCTCTTCCAACCCCTAACATTCTATGATTTTTGCCCTTGTTTTGTTGATGTCCCAAGTTGGAAGGGGCTTCAAACCAGAAAGGACAAATTCAGGAGGAGCTGCCGCAGGCCAGTAATGGGCAGCGTTCCAACTAGAGATGCTCATGCATCCACATTTTCTGGGAACCGCCACAACGGTTTTGCGTGACTCAGCTCTCGTGTCATTCAGGCTCTGCATGTGGAGGTAGGAATTCCTTGTCCCATGTAAGATTTGGAAAACAGAAGCAAAGACAAACACATGGAAGTTCAGCCCCGAAGTCTCAGACTCAAAAGATTTGGAAGTGCCTTGTCAAATACTGGGTAAACTTAATACATTCATGAAAAATAACGGAATTTAATAAAAAGTGAGTTCCTACAACTACTACAGCATCTAACAAGCCAAAGTTCTGAGTCAGAACCAGCCTGGAACTTTTTATTTTCATCTTTGCTTTAGCTGTAAAATTATTTCACAAGCTGATCCTCCCAGCGGTTATTCTACTGCGTGTTTGCAGTCCCCCATTCACACAAAATCTGGTTCCTGTTCCTCAGGCTCTCAGCACGCTTCCACCAGCACTCAGCTTTTAGGTGTAATTCCCTGTTCCTAGACCTCCTGATGGTTTTTGTGAAGCACACAGCCCTGACACCAGAGTTACTACGTCTCCAGTCTTTTCCCACCGTGGTTCTCATCACCCACCTTTTTCAGGTACCCTCAAACTCCGCTTTTGTTTCTTGCTCTGAACACCCGCTCCAGCCCTATGGCAGAAGGGAGAGGGAAGCGAGCATTCTCCTCCCCACCATACATTTATAAGGTTTCTTGGCCACGTGGATTTTAAAATGCACTTTAAGTGTCGAGCTCTTCCGGAAGTTTTTCCCACACTCGCCGCACTCGTAGGGCTTGGCTCCTGCGTGGATCCTCAAGTGGGCACCGAGGGCTGAGCTGTGCCGGAACATTTTCCCGCACTCCTCACATTTGTAGGGTCTCTCGCCGCGGTGGATCCTCAGGTGCACGTTGAGGGCCGAGCTCCGTCGGAAGCTGTCCCCGCACTCCACGCAGATGTAGGGCCGCTCCTCGGCGTGCGTGGTCTGGTGCTTGGCCAGGGTGGAGTGGTTGCTGCACCTCCGGCCACACTCGGTGCACTGGTAGGGGTTGGGCAGGAGGCTGCCGCAGTACACAGGCAAGGCCTTTGCCCCATGGATTCGGCGGTGAGTGGTGAGCGCCGAGCTCTGGCTAAAGCCCTTGCCGCACACGGAGCACTTGTAGGGCTTCTCGCCCGTGTGCGTTCGCATGTGGGTGACCAGCGAGGAGCTCTGCCGGAAGGTTTTCCTGCACTCAATACACTCGTAGGGTTTCTCTCCCGTGTGGATCCTCTGATGCCGAATGATGGCCGAGCTGTCCCGGAAACGCTTCCCGCACTCCTGACACTTGTGCGGCTTCTCTCCGGTGTGGACTCTCCGATGTATGATCAGGGAGGAGCGGTCGCTGAAGCTTTTCTCACACCGGGGGCAATTAAAGGGTTTCTCACCCTTGTGGCTTCGCTGGTGGACAATGAGATGCGAGTTCTGGCTGAAGCTCTTCCCACATTCGTTGCACTGGTAGCGTCTCTCTCCTGTGTGCGTCCGCTGGTGCCTGATCACGTTGGACCTCTGGCTGAAGGTCTTCTCACACTCATTGCACTGGTAGGGCTTCTCACCGGTGTGGATCCGCTGGTGTTTGATCAGGTCCGAGTTCCGGGTGAAACTCTTCCCACATTCAGAGCAGCCAAAGGGTTTCTCTGCCAGGTGGATCCTCTGGTGCTGGCTCAGGTACGAGCTCCGGCTGAAGCTCTTCCCACACTCAGGACACTCGAAGGTTTTCTCTCCCACCTGCCGAATCCAAATGGCACCGTTCCCACACATGGGTGGGTCTGGCGTGTCCCTAGCAAGGATAACCTTGCTGATGTGGGCTCTGCCACTGTCCTCACACTCCCAGACTTCCATCCCACAGGAAGTCACCATTCCCCATCTCTTTCCGAAAGATGTCTCCACCTCGCTTTCTGTGCCCAGCTCCTGCTTGCAGCCTTGTCTTTGATCGGAGTCCTGGTGGGTATCTCCTGTGAGCTTTCTGGCGGGGAACAGATGCAGTTCAGCTCTCACAGGATTTTCGTGATGAAGGTTGCCCTTCTCTGTGTCGCCCATGGTCCTGTCACCTGCTGGAGTGAACAGAGGTACTAGCAATGAATAACCCCACCCCCGCTTCCCTGAGGGAGAAGTCCAAACAGGGCAACTGCAGGGATCTGCTGCACATCAGCCACAATGAGCTGGTGGCTTCTCTGGGCAGAGTGAAGGCACAGACACGGAGAAGCACGGGAAGGGAGCATAACCTGAGAATGGGTGGCCACTGTGGCACAGATTGCAAAGAGGGTCCTCTGTCATAAAGTCACACCCCAAAAGACAAAACCTGTCACTTGCTTGTCCTCAAAGTTCCCGTGTCTAGAGAGGTTAAGGAAACATCCCCACTGCTCTCCTCAACAACCCCCACTGTAGCTGCTTCTCCTCCTGTTGCCTATGAATCAGTGCTCTCCTTCCAGCATTCCCATGCTTAATCAAGGAAGGAAGCAGCCAACATGACAGGAACATTCACCCCTGCCGAGCAGACTATTTTCCTGCTTCTTTCCAGTCGTAGCCTTTTGCTTAAAAAGAAACCCCTGCATATTCTGCAGCAAGTTGTACCTAGATTTTATCTGCAGAACAGATAGGCAAATGAGTGGAAAGATAAACTGCGTTATTAACTGAGCATGGAAATGAACATTTAGACTGAAACATTTAGAGGCTCCTGATTTTTTATTAGTTATACTTATAGTGGAGAACACAGCTCGGAAATGGATGCTGGAGCATGACATAAGCCGATTACCTGGATGGTGCTGCTTACAGAGTTAACATCGTCATCTTGCATGTGGGAGTTCAGAATATGAGGTGAATGCAGCAGGATAAACCCCTCAGGTTTTGCTTCAGGTGATCTGCCGATTGTAAAAGATACCACCACACTGGTTATACCAATTCCCAAAGTTTTGTTTACAACACTCAGGGCTGAAAAACATTTGCAGCACAAATAAAGATATAGCACTGGCCCAAGGCATGCACCTCAAGGCTGTGAACTGACCAATAAACCATTTAAAATATTGTCAGCACAAAAGGAAGAAAAAGCCACACTTTGACTAGTTATGCCTTCTAGCATTCTGAGTATAGTCTTTGCTAAAAAATACACAGGATTTGCTTTCATTTTGGCTAAGGTCTTCTTCATCTTTATCGTACTCTGCCTATGAATTCTCCCTGAAATCTACGCAGTATGGGAGAAGAAGAGGCAGGCCGAGTGTAGAGGGTGCAGCACAGTACATCCTAAATTTTCAGCATTCAGCCCTTCTCGTCCCTTCCCAGATGTGCTCTGTTTACTTTCTCACCTTATGAGCAATTTCTCTACCGTCTCAGTCTTTAGCTGCTTCTGACTGCAAAGCTGTTTCTCTTTGTTCCATTTCGGAGGTTAAAGCCAAGTCAGGGACTGCAGGTCCTGATCACAGGAAAGAAAACAGATGTAATAAATATCCATAGTCATAGTAGCGGTGTTGCAGAGCAATATTACAGGAGAAAAAGTATGAAGAAGATGAAAGCAACCCAGCCCAGAGGAAAAATTCAGCCAGCAGTATGAGTCAGGGTCACTGCCTGTTCTGCCACAAACCCCGTGACAGCGCTCTTCGGGTCCAACAACGGGGGCCAGCTCACATTGCAAAAACAGGGTCAACTGCACACGCTGCACATGGAGAGCTGTCTGCCAGCTTGCTGCCTTCTCACAAGTGTCTGGATGCTCCTTCTGCTGCACTTCCATACTAAAAATGCCTCCAACTCAATTTTGTGTAAGAAAATCATTGACTCCTCAAACTGTTTCCTGGCCATCACCTTTCTTCCTAGTGAACTAAATGAGAACATAATGTAATTAATGCAGTTCTGTTCTGCGAGCACAGGAAAAATGCCCCCTTCACAACTGAGCTGCTTCCTGCATCCTTTTACTGAAAGGATATTTTGCCTGGTTGCTCTCAGTGGCTCAGCCAGGCAAGCACAGGTCTGGGCAAGAGAAGCGATTCTGGTCTGCTCACACATTATCAACAGGAGCAGTCCGAAGGCAGAATTTCCTGTCCCGTGCTCCAGAAAAAATGTCAATTTGGCTGCCTCATTCCAGGTGGAGTTTACAGGGCTGGCAGTGAGCAGGAAAAAAAAAAGTCACACACACCTGTATATGCATGAACACCAAGACAATTTAATCAGCTAACATGCAATCCCACTCCTCAAGGATCAATTCTCAGGGCAGAATTACACTGTGCAGGAGTAGGGTTTGTGGGATAGAAAGTCAGGTCACCCAGTTTGCTGTAGCACTACATTTGTGCAGTGGTATTTGTATATAGGCATTTTAAGAGGCTGAGGGCTCAGTGATGTCCTAGAAATGTACATGTTACAGAGAGAAAATGCTTAAAAATTGCACATGAATGCCAGCTCTGCAATGGCCTTGCACCATTCTGGTCATGTGGATTCCCAACCGTGCCATTAGGAACAAGCGTAAAATTACTCGTGACTCCTAGTGTTCCTAAGAAAAACAAATGTAAACCAGCATCTTTTCCTTTCGAGATGAGAAACAAACTGAACTGGCTGCTCAGTGGTATAACAGAGGAGGGTATCGTGATAGAAGTGGGTTGCTAGGCCCTCCAGAGGACAGAGGGAAGATTTCCCCACCTGTGTAACGCCATCATGGCAAAAAGAAGGCCCCTGATAGAATGGAGAGCTGACATTTTGTTGGCTCTGCCACAGCCTGGAGTCATGTCCTGCCTGCTCCTTGCTGCCTCCTCTGCAGTGGATTCAGTGGGCATCACCCCTTGGGGGAAGGGTGTTTCCACTCCTCCCAGCCACAGGCTCTGATCCCAGGTAAGAAGCAGGGAAGTTGAGGTCTCCTTTCCCCATCCAACCCCCATCCACCTACCAAGGAGTGCTGTTCAGTGGGTAAGCCTGACTCTGCTGAACTATCCTTCTGATTTTAGAAGAGAAACGTCCTCCTGGATCAGCCCCTTCCTGCTGCCATTCAAGAGCTGCCAAAAGCACATTGTCAACACACACCTTAAAATGGTGAGTGAGTACCTCCAGAAGACAGGAAGAGGGTGCAGAAAGACCTATGGTGCTGCGCAGAGCCAGGCAGTTTGTGGGATATGGCAGAAAAAAATGTTGTGCAATGGGTAGTAAAGATCTGTCCATCAACAAGATGGGCAAATGCCACCAAGCACCAGACTGGGACAAGGTGGCGGTTCTGTCACAGGTTAGGGCTGGGCCAGCCACTAAAACGTGGACAGATGCTCTCTAATCCTCCTCTCCCCCCTAAAATGGGAAGGAAAAGGGGATGAGGCAGAGAAACTTATGGCTTAGAAAAAAAAAAACAGCTTTAATGAAACAATAATAGAAATAATAGTGAAACGATAAAAATAAAGAACTATATACAACTATATGTAAGTCCCACATTGAACCTGACTCCTCCCCAAGAGCAATCACCACCGATGCTGCAGAGCAGGCAGCGATGGGGAGCCGGACACAGGAGCTGGATTTGGGAACTCAGGCTCAGGATCAAAAGCAGGAGATCGGACAGAGTCCTCCCTGGACGCTGGACATTGAAGAAAGAGGCCTAAACTCTTGTGGCAACTCACTTTATACTGAATACGATGCATATGGAATGGAATACTCTTGTTGGTCACCTGTCCTGTCTGTCACTCCCCAGAGGTACAACCTTTTACTTCCTTGTGACCCCTCTTACTACCCGGCACCCTCAGCGTGGCACACAAGAGCCAGCAGTGGCCTTGGTCACTGTAGGAATAAGTACAAGCAAGAGCCTTTCTGCATCCCAGTCCCAGGCAGTAACTGTAAACATCAGGTGTTATCACTGCCAGTAGCAGGCACTGTCTGCAAAACCATGCTGCTGACTTCAGAAAGTGCAGCCTCTGAGAAGAGACTGAAGAGGAGAGTTAAAAATCACTAAACAGAACTGGTTTTGTTTAGCTCAAACCAGGACAGCTTCCCAGAGCAGCCATGTTTGGACAACACCAAGTCCCCATGCAGCATCCCAACAGATGAAGTAACCAGATTCTTACGAGACCAAGAGAGGTGACCTGTCGCGCGGGGAGGCGATGGGCAGCACTGAGCTCCTGTGATGAGACAGACAGACAGCGGCCCCAGAGGGGCTGCCCTACGAAGGACGTGGCTGCCCAGGGGAGGCAGGAGAGGCGTGGAGAACAGAAAGCCACCACGGACATCAACCCAGGGAAACCAAACACCTTCTGTGGTTTTCTTTCTCTGAGTTTGAACTCGGTGTTGCAGTTAGGAGGAGGGCAGACCCCACTGCCACAGGAGGTGGCCTGTGTCCAAATTCAGCCTCAGGCAGGTGGCCCTCCCTGACAGAAGCTCAGCACCAGCAGTGGTGCAAGAGGGCAGGAGGAGGAGGGAGGCATAAGTGGGAAGAAGCAGGGGCAGCAGAGCGAGGAACACGGGGAACAGAGGCTCTGTGACATCACCAGCCACGCCACCACACCCAGTTCTCTAGGGCGTGGAATCCAGAGGGGCAGGAGGAGGACGCAGGCAGGCGGGTACAGCAGCGGAGGTGACCCCTCTGGCAGCACAGGAGGTCCAGGATACTACAGGCACTGTTCACGGTGCAATGTCAGTCACGTGGCCTTGTCTGGTTTTGTCTGGTGAGTAGGAAACCTCTCTCCTTCAAGCCAGGTTGTGAGGAAGGGTGGCCAACCCAGTTGCTCTTCACTCCTCCCTATCACCCCTCAGCTTTGGCAATTTGGAGGTGAGAGGAAGAGACGGGAGCTGCCTCGAACACCTCAGGTGCAAAGATCTTGGGTGCTTAAATTTTTTACCATTGCAGCAGGTATTTTATTCACCAAGGATGGCCAGAGAGTGACCTAGGAGTCAAGGGGAAGGACTCAGAGCTAGATGCAGCGGGCAGAGGCTTGAGCAGAGGTGCAGACTGGAGACACGATGATGGCGACAGCTAGACACATAAGTCAGACAGGAGAAGCAGGAGAAAGAGGTCTGGAGAGGACCTTCGTTAACAGAAAGGGATAAAACTAGAAGAAATGGACAGAAAGGCCAGGATGCTCTTGGCC